ACCTCAGACTCAGTCTTGTTGGCTTCCTTGGACTTCTTGGGTGCAGTCTCCTTCCCATTGTTGTTGTCATCCTTTTTCTTGCCACTGCCACGCCCCTGGCCGCGGCCATTTTCTTCGTCCATCAGCGAGAATTCATCGGTTCCAAGTTGTTCTCGCCGAGTCACGAGTGGCACCTGAAGGGGTGATTGCAAAGAAGGTTCCCAGTGATTCCATCTTCAACTAGAAACCAGTTGCGAAGGTTCATGAGTGCTCACCATTTAGCCGCTTAGCCACTGAATGTTGAGACCCACCCACCTCCCCATTCAACAGATCCACCTCTTGCTCAGCTGGCTCCTCTGCAGGAGTTTGCTTGGTTGACATCGAGGACGAGGCCGGAGCAGTACCGAATGACGAGGCCGGTGCAGCCGCTGGCTCTTTCAACTCAGTGGGGGGAAGCTTTGGAGGGCCATGCGCTGCAGAGAGTTCCTGCGCTGTCTCAGGAGCTGGTTTTGACTGAAGTACTTTTCTGACGGTGATCCTCCTATCGAACTTTATCCCAATTTGTTTTTGTTCTTTTTTAACAGCCCTTTTTCGACCTTGAAAGGGCCTCCGTATCCTCCACCAAAATCGTCTCGAAAGAAGTCATACCCAAGGATCCGTCCGGTGTCTCATAAGGCAAAGTCTCAATGTTGTCGATATCACCTGGGCAACCAGTGATCGGGTGAATTAACTAAATGACTAGACCGCAACTACTTAGGAGATCTTAGGAGGGCCTTTTGTAGCTAAACATTTTCCAATTTTGACAATCAGTCCAAGTTGCCCAACACAGCTGAACTCTTCAAGCGAGCTAAGTTCTCCTTCTCCTTGGATTCCATCTTTGCCCTGTAGGGTCGGAAACTTTAAAACGTTTCAAAGTCAAGAGACTTGGTCAAAAAAGATCTTTGGCCATCTCTGGAACTCCCCATGGTGAACTAACTGTTTGAGGAGGTGGATGGTGGATTCCCACATGTTTACTCCAAGGGATGGCTGAGCTATTTCCCCCACTGTGTCCGGTTCCAGAGTCTAGAGTTTGCTTTTGTGGACCCCCACCTCAATTCAGCAAGCCTGGACCGGATTTCTTCCTTGCGTTTGAGCTTTGAAGGACTGAGCGGAGCTGGTGGTGGCATTGAAGACAACGATGAAACCGTTGCAGCCCCAGCGCTATCAACGGGCGTTGCTTCGTGATGGGTTCCATCTCCATTCAAAACCTCCAGGGGAGCCTGCGGGTCTTCATTGTCACACGAGCCCTGAATGAGAGAAGAGTCAAAAGGATCCTGCGAGTCCTCAACGTCAGGGTACTCGTAAACAGTGGCCTGTGAATCCTCAATGAACTCGACGTCGACAGGTTTTGCCTGCGGGTCAGGTGTCTCCCCTGTGACTGTATCTCCACGGGTTCCCCCACCTTGAAGCACAGTCCCGCATCCATCTTCATGCTCAAGACTACTCTTCGGTGGTGGTGTATCCTCCAGTTCAGTAGTTGTTATGGAACTATCGCCATCCTGAACCTCATAGACATCAGCCTCAACGGCCTCCTCATGAGCCTCAACGGCCTCCTCATCAGCCGCCCCATCCATAATGGCTAGTGGGGGGTTGTCATCATTGGCGGCCCTCAAAGCATCGCCGTTCTCATCTGCACTTGGAGTGCCCCAAGCAGCAGTGAAGATGCACCAAACAGAGTTCAACGATGATTCCTTGACTGGGTGATGTGTTGCGGCTTGTTGCGACTATTGGGATGTTCTTGCCCAAAGTAAGTTCCCTTGGTGGAAAGGACTAGGAAAGCAGTGTTGCAAAATTACTATTGAAAACTTCAGGTAAGACATGGTAAGACTCCCTGGGTGCAGTGCTCCCCGTCAGCCACCTTCGCAAGGCATGGGAGAAGAGCCTTTTCACGCCCCATGCATCCAAGTTGACCTTCCCTGCATCTTCAGGCAAAACGAGCTGTTTCCTCCACTCTGTGACCTTCAAGGCGCTGGGTGGGGCAGGAGGCAGATGGAAGCACAGAGAAGAAAACAAAACCAATTCAACAAGTGTGGGTGATACAACTACCAAACTTTTGTTCCCTAAACCGCCCTACCTCGGCACGCAGCAAGTCTATTGGGATGGCAGCCGGTTGAGTGCAAAATTGGACCCACCATGTTGCTGTCAGCTCCAGCGCTTCAGCATTCAGGGAACATGCTTTCATTGAAGCAATCCCTGTGGTTTTGGGACTTGGCCAAACGGTGATGCTATCATTCAACCTCCCTCGGTTGCGAAGCAACGGGCTTTGTTCCCAATCGCTTGCCAAAGGCATGGTCAAAGAACTGAGAACTAGCAGAGAGCAAGCTGATCTTTTGAGCCCAACAGATCCTAGAGACTCCATGTTCTATGAAGTTCTTGGTGCAAGTGGGGCAGCAAAAGACCACTAGACTAGAGATCATCAATTCCAGTCCTGAGGTATCCATGGCCCAACCAGCACCACCGTGCGGGTACCTGACGAGGCAATTTGATGATGCCTTGCGCACGTCTGTGTGCATTGGAGAGCGCAGCTGACTGCAGAAAAAAACAACGGGCGCACATCTCGAACTTCCAAGAGCCAGGATTTCCATTGGGAGTGATAGAGTGCTAAATCCTTTTGAAGGTGTGTTTGCACTCCTCATCGAGTGAACTTGGTTGTGTTCACAGTGGTGATCATTCCATTTGGTTGCACCATGTTAAGATAGTGTGCATCATACGTTCGCTAAACCCAATGTCAGGCTGTATGTCCTGATAGCAAGGCTTTGGAGCCACAAAGCTCATTGATTGGACAGAAAGACCAAAAAACGCTCGGGATCAAAAAAACAGTACATGCCCAAAAAAACGTTTTTCTCTGAGAGAGCAATAAAAAGACATACATGGGAAGACGTAGGTATAACCCTAAGAATCATTGGACCCTCCTATGGAGGGTTTAAACCCTGCATAGCAAGGGCTTCTTAGGGAAGTATGTAAAATAAGCCACCGAACTTGGGGTAACTGGTGCCATCTACTCTCAATCCATATATTATACAGTCTTGGGAAGCCAAAAAAGAGGACGAGTTCAGTTCACGACTATAGGCCTTGAGTTGTTTGTATAGACCAGAAAAGAGGGGTTTAGAAGCCCCAGCCCACTACTATCCGGGATCTCCAGACAGGACACCGCTTGAAGGTCCAGGTATGTCCAGGTATTCGTTTTAGTTGTAAGAATGCTCGATCCGTTCGTAGCGATGCCAGGAACCATGTAGCGTCCTTGCTGGTAGTAAGAGGAGCCCCGAACGTCGCTTCTTGTTGAAGGTTTCTGTCGTTATGTGGTTTTCAAGGTCCAAACTTGGCTCCAAATGTTGCTCGCCTCACCTCGTGTCCACTTGCCCGTTTCGCTCGCGTTTGTGCTCGCATCTTTCGCGTGTTAATCGCATTTTTTCGTTTTCTTTCGCGCAGATTCTTCCACCACAGGTGACCCGTGACCTGAACGGTCCGGACCCAACACCTAGGGGACGAATGGGGCTTCTCGAAGGACCGAAGGACCTGGGGCTCTTTTCACCTGGATTCTTCCTTTCCGCTTCAGGAAGGATCCCATCCTTCAGCAAGCCGTGTCATGGTGCAACAACCTTCCCTGCATCAAGGTGCAGGCGGCGCTCTCGCCGATGTCGACATCGGCACGTCCTTTCGGTCCTTTCGGTCCTTTGGGCGGTCTCGGTGGGTCGACGCGAGTGGAAATGGGAAAATGAGATCCAACAAGTGGGTGGGAGACCAATTATGTGCGGAAAGTCTAGAAACCAAGGAACTATCCCAAGAAATCAAAGAAATTGGAGTGACCTATGTGACATGGAACCGCTTGCTCAGTTCTACTTTCTTTCGGGCCTCCGCACTTGATATCGGAGAAATCCTCATGCCTGAGTCCTGCGGCGGCTGGGCGGTTGCAGATACCGACTTCGTTGACCGACTTCGTGAGTACCTTCGAGTCGACCTGGGCCCCAAGAGGAATACCTGTTGTTTCTTTTTGTATCGGGTCATGTCCCATTGTTCCCATTGTCTGAAGCACTTGAAGGGTCCAGATATGTACTTGAAGGGTCCAGATATGTTTTCCTTCTTATTCACTAGGACCTTCAGTTTGTTTTGTTTTTTTGGAGTCTCTCTTGACCAGTGACCTGAAGTACAGGTCTGTTCGTGACATGAATCGTGACCGAAAATCTTGGGATCGATGGATCGGTGCCACAGGTCCTGACACTTGGGATGATTGAAACCGCAAATAGTTTTCGATGAGTTGAAACCCCCAACCATGCAGTTTGTTGTAGCCGCCCAAGCGAAGAGAAACGAGAACGCGACTCCGCGGTTTGTCTCTGCTGGACACGTTTGTTGGGCACGTTGGCGGTTCAGACGTGGAACATGTTCCCAAGGAGCATGAAGACTTCCAGACGTGGCGCGCCGCACAGGTGTGACTTGGTAAATGGATCGGGGTCAAATCCTGGTACCGTGGAGAGTCCCCAAGGATGTGCGGTAATGGATGTCATCAAAGGAGTAAGGACTTCCTAATTGGAGTGGTAGTATATTAGTTTGGCTTCTTGCAATGCTGACCGCCTACTTGAAAAAAGAATCCAAGTGCTCTAGTTCCCCATGCTTCCCTGCAGTTTGGACCACTTGTTTGCCCCATGATTTGTCACTGCATGCCCTTCCCAACCTTTGAAACATATCATTGGCATAATACAAAAATCTTGATCCTTCAGACAATGTATTGCAGAAATGTGAAGCTTGGCTTTTCGACAGAAAAGGCCACGCCAGCTAGGCCATGCCAGGCATCTTTAAGACTTTGTTCTGCGGTATGATACCCGCAGACCCGCAGACCCACACGCCACAGCTCTCTCCACATGTGTTCAACCTCTTGGGTCCCGGTCCAGCCTGATGTCCCCGGTGTCTCAAAGCGGTTGCACAGGGGTGGAAAGATTAGAAGAGGGAATCGGCTCCTAGAGCTGGGGAAGCTGCAAGTCGGGGTAAGTATACCTGTTCTTGAGGGTGAGTTCGGGACATGTCCCATATTCCGAGGTCCGGTATGACAAGGATAGATCCTCCAAATTCCACTTGCGCGCACCTTCCTTGGAACACTTTGCTACGTGTGGGATCATGACAAAGCTTCCCATCACACGGGGGCTGGAAGGTGCTTCGAGGGGGATGATCTTGAAGTAATTCTTGATCGGCCAGGTTTGCACGCGCTGTAGAGAAGCATGCAGGGCAATATCAGATTTTATTTGAGCTATAAGTTAAAACAATTGTTCCTCTCTCTCCGGGACTGGCAAATTAAGCATATATCCATTGGGGTGGTGTCGGTTCCAGGGGTCAATATAGCCATAAACCTGCACTCTCCTGTCTTGGAAAATGGGACATGAACCTCGTGCAAAAACGGCAAGTAATCCTTGCTGCCCCTTTTCCCAGATACCAAAACAAAGTTGAGTCTCTGGCGTCTCTGCAAAAAAGACACCATATATCTTCAGCGGTTGGACGCCTTCCGCCCGCCGAACCGAGAGCCTTCCCAAAACCCCTAAGGAGGGGCCCCTGGTCTGATCGTGGCTGGACCTCGCATGTGGCCTTCGCAGTGGGCGGCGAGATTGCCGCTGGGTGGAGTTCATGCCCTGCGCCGTCCCAGCTAGTGGAGGGGGGGTGGCTCAGCTAGTGGTCCGGGACTGGGAGAAGGAGGGCTCAGTTTGTTTGATGTAAGATCCATGTTCCCAAGACTCATTCTAAGACGTGGGCAGACCAGAAGCCTTCAAAAAAGGCGCCACGTGGGCGCTCACGTTCCCAACCCCTCACCTCACCCTCACCTCACCTGCTGAGACCTTCTCACAGACCTCACCTCACCTCACCTGCGGCCTTCTCCGTCAGGATGGCCTTTGGGCCATCGGCGCCGGCACCAAGAAGCTCGCGCGGAAGCGCGCCGCGCGCCTGGCGCTGCTGGTGGCCGAGCGCGCACAGCGCCACGGCGCAGGCGCCGGGCCGTTGGAGTTGGACCATCCAGTTCTGGTGAAGAAAAACATGCCTGTGCACTATCTGGATAGTATACTAGTAAACCAATGTCACCCGTGGACTACTTGGACTACCTGGACTGGGTACCTGTGTAATGACCAACCATGGAGCCTACCTGGATCATCCTGTCTGGGGTGTCCTGGACAGGGAGATCCGGATAGTAGTGGGCTGGGGCGAAACCAGCCTGACCCCGACATGAAGGTGCTGGTATAAACCCTAATTCTAATTATATTTTAATTCTAAATCTATTGAATTCTTGTTTCTACTAGCGAACACCTAGTAGTAAGGCCAGGAGCCCCTAGTAGCGTCCTTGCTCCTAGTAGCGATGCCCTTTGTTACTAGTAGCGTCCGTGCTCCTAACCCTAATATGGATGGATCGGATTCTTACTTTTGTTTTTACAAACAACGGCGGTCAGATCTATTCGGAGAGTGGGTCAGATCACCTCAATTGCCGGTCACTGGAATCTCATACGGACGGTCACACAAGGAAGGTTCAGATTTTTCCCTCATGTTCTGAGTGCAAACTGAGAGTCCAGGCACATCCAAATGGATTTTGATCGAAAAAGATAGTTCGTTTCAAGGAACCCATCAATGGATGGGGATGCCACAAGAATGCATTGACCTACCTTTGGGGTCATTTGGAGTAGGGACAGTTTCTGGAACTTAGCTTTGGGGAGCTTATGTGTGTTTGCTGCTTCTTACCACATACATAATTGTGCCCTCTACAGTAGAGCCAGGTCTTTTCTACTCTTGGGAATCACATTTTCTGGTGTAATGCAAGGCCATGACGAAGGCGCCCCCCCAGTAGCTGACAGTACTAACCACCTTTCAAGAAACCTCCTGGCCCATGTTCAATAAGTGAGTGCAATAATCTTCTCAACATGATTATTGTCCACCATTCTTGGTGCCATTATGTTTTCCAATACTAGTTCCTACCTTCCCTTTCTTCAATCCCTACAGTTTGCACCAATCCCTTATTTCATGGTTTTATTGACAGTGCCCATCCCTTCTGCAATTTAACACACCACCTTTGTCTCATGCTAGCTCATTGGTGGTTCATGCTTTGGGCAGTGTTCCCATTCATTCAGTGAAACTCGTTGGATACTTTGCCTCATGCATCCTCGGGATTTTTGTTTTGGGGATTTCTTCCTCCTGAAGAGACTTCGTCATTTGGATATCATTTTTTGCCTTGGTGATTTTGGGAGATCCTCATCAAACCTGGGCAGCCCTCCATGTTCTGCCATCTCTCACCAGCCCAAAGCAGCCGACCCATCCATCTCTCACTGCCGAACTCTCTCCGAGTCCCGCGGGGAACAGTCCTGTTGGACGGTCGGCCTCTCGAGGACCTCAGGATCCACTCTGGGACTTGGTGGAGCGTGCCAAGCAGCTCCTGGAACATGCTGCTTGGTCCCACCCAGTGTGTGATCACCGGGCACCGTCTCCTTTTTTGGGGTTTTTGGGACATCCCACAAAATAGGAACGGAAACAGACCTGGAGCACCCTGAAGAGATCTGAAAAGAAAGATTGCTCTCTTGATGATCAATTAGTACTCTTTCGGATTTTGGTTTCCATATATTCTGGGAGTCAAAGACTATAAAAAGAATGGTCTGACTTTCGGGGACCTGATTTCGGGAACTTCCTGAACACTTCAGCCGGTCCAAATATCGTCGGTTCCTGGACTTCTATATAGGTTAATGTGGAAAATGGTGAACCTTTTCTCGAAACTGAGGGAGTCAGTAGAAATCACGATCGTCTCTGCGCGGTCGTAGCTGCGCGTGTCTACACAATAGACAGGGGTGTTGATGATGGGCAGGTCAGCTTGCCAAATAGCTGGGGGAAGTTGTTGATGATGGGTGTTTGGTTTTTAAGACACATGGAAGAACATATGACAAAAACGTTTGGGGAAGGACATGGAAGCATGTTGCTTGCCAGTTTCATGCCGATCTGTCCCAGTTTCTTTGAAGTTTCACCCAGGACCCGGGAAGGTGTCCGGACCAATCTAGCCGGACCTCCAACCCAAGGGAAACAACATGTCAAAACAGTTTCTTAAAGGCTAATGATGAGTTCGTATAAGGCCTATATCTGGATGAGATGCCTCAACAAAATCATCTGAATATGTTTCGATATGGTTACTTTTACCCGTGACTTTGGATGGCACCCATTTTGAAGCCATCATTTTGACCTTTAAGTGCTAGGAAAAGACAATGTGTTGTTGTGTTAATTCAACATAAATAGTTGAGAAACATGAAAAGTCTAACCTTGTTGGCCATATTGTTATATATTTAGATTAACATATACCAGGACGCTCAAAGGGGCTTTAAATTGGTGGTAAGACGTATCAAACAGGTATGACTGGGGCCCCATTTTTCTACGGTACGAACTGAGACTCCACATCTATCCCTAGACGCTGAGGGAACCTTGTTTTGGAGCCAAAACATGTACTTTATCCCTATCAAAACAGGGTCTTGTTTTTGTTGTTTCTTCTTTTTTCGATGTCGTTTTTTTCTGCTACAAGAGCATGAATCTAATCCACAAGCCTCGGATGATAAAATCAACGCTGGGGCAGATGTGAAATGCCTTGAGTCTGAAAGTAACTTTGAAAATTGGTAGACAACTATATATACCTTTTTTTATGATATAGGGTCATGTCCCATTTTCTAGAAGTACAAACCAAGTCGGGTCCAGGTGCATGCGTTAGAGCAGCTGGACCAGGCGTGCAGTGCGAACGTGGAAGCAGATGCTGTGGATGGCGCACTGTCCACGGGTCCGCTGAACGGCGAGGAGCTCTGCTCCGGGCCGTTCGCCTGGCTGGCTCGGTGGTGAACCGGACTAAGAGGTCCATGTTGCTAGGTGCTTGAGTCCAGTTTCCAAGACATTGATTAACAGGTAATGAGTTACTTATTAACTAATTGAAACAAGATCCAGAACAAAATGCTATGTTCCAATGGTGTGGTTGAGGTTCTTGGGTGAGAAGCGGGCGGATCTTGGAAAAAAAATAAACAATTGTTTTGTGTATGTTTGCTGTGTGTTTGTTTGCTTGCTTGCTTGTTTGTTCGTTTTTTTCTAGTTATTTAACATGTTTTAACCATCCGATATGTTCGGTTGAAATTGAGGGAAACACGTTGAACTGTGAGAAGTTTGAGTTTACTTTGCTCCTTAAAGGCGGTGGTAGTTTTGTATCTGTAACCTGTATACATGTGCCTTTTGTGTGTGTGGGGATCCCCAGCAAACTAGAACTGCCTCGAGTAGCAGTTCGCAGTGTAAAGAACGAAGCACCCAAAGCACCCTCTCGAGTCTTCAATCTTCAAGACTCAAAAAGAACAGTTCCAGTCTTGCTACCAGGACCATCGGACCATCTGGGTGTCCGGACGTCTGGAATCCTGCCCACGACTTATATAGGTATCTCCAGACAGGACACCCAGAATGGTCGGATGGTCCTGGTCGGAGGGTCGGCTGGTCCTGGTCATGGTGGAATCCAGCAAACGATCCTCCAAGCTGGCTGGACACCCAGAACCCAGACAGGATGATCTAGATGGTCCTGGTAGAGACTGGCGATCTTCTGGGGGGTCGCCCCTCTCCATCGCCTCCGAGAGTCGCATTGTACGGTCGACCGGTGACAGTGACGAGGTCTCCCATCGACGACTCGGCGGAGGGTGGGCATCCCTTGGAAAGCAGTTGAAACTGGTTCAAATCATCCACAAGTCACAACACCTTTTTGAAACCTGCTGATGCATGTTTGTTCAAGTTCAAAACCACCAACCACAGGGACATGTCTCATTCCAATCAACGCCTATCGAGCACCCCATCCTCCGCGCGAGGACCGGAAATGGCCGCCGGCCACTTCCGCAGCGCGCGAGCCCGCGCGGGACGTCGCAGCGGCAGTGCCGCGTCAAACGGCACCTTGGGATTACACTCCATGGGACTGGAATTTCATACAGCATGTGCATGCATGATGCATGTACTATATATAGTATATGTGTGATGTGTGTATTGTGTATCTACAAGATATTATATATATACACCAAATTATATATTCCATTGTTTAGCCAAGAAGACGTTGCTGCACTTGGTCTCGACCCTTTGCCACCTCGGATTCAATGGCGGATTGAATGGCAACATCTATTCACCAGGAGTCACATGGAGTTGGGTGGTTTTTCCCATCCAGCGACTGGACGTTCTGGGCACCCCGACTTCCTCCAAGTTCGGCACCCCTATTTGTGATTGGATTAGTCGACCTGGACGTACCTTCGAACATGTGGACCCCAACAAGCACCCGTTTTCTGTTCACGACATGTGCCATGAATTCGACTAGAGTGACTAGAGTACGACCGGATCACTCGTTTGGTCCAAGTATCAATACGGTCGGACCCATCATAGGTCGGATTCTGATCTCATACCAGCACCCTGACTCTGACCTGGCCAAAAACCCTCCCTTCGCCGAGGCCAGCAGCTGGCTGAGCAACGGGCTGGCTGAGTAACGCACCGGTCAGACGGGCGGGCAAAACGGAATCTGCGAATCCGAAGGCCACCTGAAAACAGGGCGAATCAAGGAAGCTGAAGATTCCAGAAACAGGGCCATGTCATGGGCTGTATATTGAAGCTGAATCATTGCGACTCACTTCGAGCTGTTTGGCAGGTTCTTTGGCTGAATTCCAAGTAATCTGATTCCATGCAGGTCCAGGTCCGAGACAGTTGCATGATCAGCTCCAGCAAAATGAGGTCAATTCCTGACCTGGAAGGATTGATTATGATTGATTACTTTTCTTGGTGCAATAAAGGCTCCACACTCTACCCCATCCCGGCCATCACCTGCCACCTCTGACCAAGGATATTGCCGATCAAAACCATGGCGTTCACACGATGGAGAGAAGAAATCCTTTCACCGTGGGAAAATCAGCGATTTGTTTGCAGGGGTTAAATGTTTTGGGGGGCAGATTTTCCTATAGCGATGGGTGCAGAATTGAATGTTCTCACACAAATGACAATGGGTGCGATCCTCAGTGCATCCTGAAGTTCTGCTGGAGGGTTTGGAGGGTTCCTCGGTACTGCCATGTAGGTGCCAGGAGGGTCCAAGTACTTTCTGAGAAGGTACTTGGATCCCTAGGGAAGTGTTTGTATATCTTTCTGGTGTCATCGTGGCCATGCGTGGCCCAGTTTGTGACCTGCAGCCTGACATGCAGAGTTCGCTCTGTCGCGCGAAAAGGTGGATGTGTTCCACCCTTTCAGTGGCGCGGCGCGAAAGCGCGTTTCATCACCGACGCCTGAAAAACGAACGACGCCGCGTCGACGCAGAGCGAAAGCTCCGGAAAGCACCTACAGGGTCTGGACAGGTCTACAGGGTTCGACAAGAAGAGGACTGGACTGCGAGAGGAGTCAGGATTTGGACTCCAAAACACCAGGTACATGTTCCAAGGTATTGGTACTTTGGAGGGTCCAGGTACTGGCAGGATCATCTAAGTGTGATTAACCATGGTGTTTGTGTAGTGCGCAGTGCGCTTCGATCGAACTTCTGGCGCTTCTCTAGCACCATGCGGTTTCCGGGTGGTAGGACTTGGCAGAAGAAGCAGTCTTCCAGACACCAGTACCCTTCTGGGCAGGATAAACATAGGCATAATGAATCAGCATGAACGTATTTACACCAACTTGTTGTAGGGCGTGCTTTTGGCAAAAGAATATGCATGCCCCTCCCAACCGCTTTGAGGATGTCATCACAGGACACACCAGCTTGGAAGTGGCTCAAAGTCCATGATTTGGTGTTTGAAGTAAGACTTTTGGCAGGAGTATACTTTGACCCCACGGGAGCTCGAGTTTGAGTTCGGACATCCACACTTTCTGTTTTTTTCTTTGGTGGTTCTGAAGCTGACATCACGCACACCAGGCCTACTGTCTTCAGCTCTTTCAAGACGAGGTGCAAGCCGGATGGAGGGGCGAGTTTTTCCAAACACGAACTCTCATTCCTGGATGAATCCTGCACTTCTTCCACCAGCAGGAATCCACCATCAGTGCATGTTGGATCCGTGTTCCTTCTTCCATCTCGGGTCGAACTTGGAAGGTCCCTCTCTTTTAATCCATACACACCCAATGTGTCCTTGTTGACGTATCCTACCCGGGACTGAGTCAAGTAACCAGCCGCCCCCCCGAGGTGTGATGGGTTCTTCTCCTGCGCCGAGAGGTGAGCCGTCAAAATCCTGGCCCACCATCAATTGAGATTTCTCTTCACCGTTTTGCTTTGATTGAAACCTTCGGAAGAGCCTTTAGCTGATCATTAGCTCTTCTCTACCTGAGAACGAACCAGATCTCCGGAGCTGGGACACGGGACACGTCTGGGCCGTGCGCCCCGAGCGCGGTGCGCAGGTGGTGCGATTGGCACAAGAGCCCGGCCAGAGGTGGGGTGAGACCGCGCCGGGACGCGATGGGATCAACTGGATGGAGCGATGGGATGGGCTGGCATTTTCCGAAGAGAAAGACATCATGAGTGAGTTTGATGCTGGTCATACAAGATGGAGTCAGTTGGAGTCTGAGTCTGAGACAGAAGAACACAAAGTAGAAGAAAAAGAAGAAGTGCAGGTGTACTGAAGAGCATGTGTCCACCGTGATTGCAGAGCCGGAAGAGCTTTCTTTGAGCATCCCAATCCTTTCAGTCTTTCACAGATGGTGCCTAAATGGAGATTCCAAGCAAGGTCTGGGCGCCTTTCAAGGTCATTCCGCCATTCCGCCACAGCTACCGCCTACAGTTACAAGGCATTTCGCTTACCTAAAGACCTCAAACAAGCACGAAGCTGATTCCCACCATATGCTTGCTTGGTGAAAAAAAAACACGTACTTATAAATCGGCAGTCGGAATCGTTCGGCTCATCGCAATCTATGTTTGATGTGCAGCCGAGTTCGGCAACCCACGCAGGCGACTGCGCATTGTGGAGGCCCGCATCTGGGAATACAGTGGAGGAGACTCACAGGCACCTACAGCTATAGGGGGAATCGTGGCACTTCAGAGTATCAGCTACTTGTTTGGAGCTTGTGGCTGTTTCTCCCAAGAGCAAGCCATAGAGATTGACTATAAATTTAACATAGAAACTGTCAGATGACCGCCCATCCAGAAAATACTATCGCCAAAGTAGCAGATCGTTCTGCGAGAAAAAGCAGAAAGGGGTGGCGCATGGACACCCCTTAACATCTTAAGGGTCTATCAATAGAAGCCCCTTATAACGGGTTCTGGTATGTTTATTGAGCGTTTGGTAGCACTGCTTCGCCTCGAAGCCGGAGGGCATCCAGCCTTGAAGTACTCCGCCATCGACGGACCTCTCCCGGTCGCCTTCGGTTCGACCATGAAAAGAACGGTTCAGACCTGAATTTGAAATGTCAAAAAGGTTTAACAATGGTTGTGCTGGATGATTTTGCTACGAAATCAATGGTGGGGCCGAGGATTTTTAACACATGTGGTGTTTTTAGACACATGTCATCAAATGGCCACTTGTTTTGTGTGTATTTGTTTTTTGTTTTTTCAGTCGACCTTCAGACCTTTGATGTGTCTTTTGTTTTGTTTGCTTCTTTTGTTGGCAAATAGGCCACACACTGGACACTCGGATTTGGCCCAGTTTCAGAAAGGTCCGTACTTCAAAGTCGCATGAACAGCTGTATCTCAGGCGGAATAGGGCTCCAGTCGTACCACCGTCGGTGGTGACCGTCGGGGTGGGCCAGGTCACCCGGCTGTTCGACTGTCCGAACGTTGGGGTATACCCTCTGGTTGAAACCGGGTCAGGTCACGTTCACGTTCACCTCTGGTGGGTGGAAAACCCATCTTCAGATCTCGCGCCATCTCGCGCATGATCACTATTTTTTGAACCAGGCCTGGTACCTAACTATCATCATCCACTGTTATTAGGATCGATAGACCCAAGGAATATATGCCTACATTGAGCCAAACCACCGACATTGGAGATTGTGTCAACGAACCTCTGAAACCACTGGCTGCGGGCTTCCTACAACTTGATTCTTGAAAACCTCAAACCTCGAGTCCTGTTCTTTGTATGACTTATCCCTAGGCCTCCAAGTGCCTTCTGAGAAGGTGTTTGGGGATGTTTGGGGTGGGTGCCAGGAGGGTCCAAATACGTTCTGAGGAGGTACTTGGAGGTGTAGGGTATATGATGGATCCAGTCTAAAATGAGGTCATTGCCTGAGCTCAACTCTGGCTGAACATGCTCTTTTTGCAGTGGTGAAACACCACCCTCCCAGCACTTCCGGTGCTTCACTGCAGCCACCGGTGAGGCTGGGCCTCACATTGGTCCGGGCGCCCAAACGCTCGTGAGGATGCGAAGGCCCTGGTCACTTCCATCCTACAACCCACCTTTTGCTGGGACCCGCCAGGCCGGGACATCACCAGTCTACTCCGTCACCCAACAGTGGAGCAGACGAAGAGCAGGACGACTTGTGGACATACTCTCAGTCGACCGCACCTCCCCACTCGCCCCCAAGGCGCCCAACTAGTACCTGTTTTTTGGTTCAGGTCATATCCCATGAACTCTATAGAGTCTACAGTACGACTCGTTGGCTTAACGCCCTCATCCCGCGGCTTGGCAAGCACTCTTCGCCCCACCTGGCGCAAAAAATTCTACCATCTTTCCCTCCAAGAGAGGTTAAGTGACATAGCCTTAGTTCGGGTCATTCAACCTCTGGCTACCCGGATCCCCCAAAACGATATGACTTCCTCCTGGCCGGAGAGGACTATCCCCGGATCCACCTCGGGGTGAGTCGCGTTGCTTCGAACCACGCGTTGACTGCACGCGTCGACTGCACCTCGGTTCGGATCGACTTCCGCCGAAGCAGTGGGTGGATGAATCCCTACAGCTCCCAACAGAGGTTAAAGAGCCCAGGTCCGACTATCCCATGGGTCTCCCAGGTGACGGGTCCGGACCCTTCAGGTCACGGGTCACCTGTGCGGCCCTCCAAACGCTTCAGTGGGGGTGGGGGGTTTTCCATCGGTAAACCGGTCGATCCACGGAACCGGAGGGTACAGAATAGAGGAGACTTTTCAAGATCTACCCTGCAGGACCCTCCGACCATCGAGGTGCCCTGTCTGGAAGCCTCCATAGGTCGTGTTGGGTAGTCCAGCCAGGACACCCCGACAGGAGGGTCCAGGTACCTGTTCACCTTTTTCAGTTCGGCTGGTAGATCTTTTTCAGTTGAACATTCATTGATTCGTAATTCTTTTTGAAGCACCCTGTGAAACTGGGTGGTACATACCAGACTATCCATGCAACTGGAATAGTTGTATATACATGGATGGGCCATTTGGATAGAGTTGTCATGTTCTGTAACTATTCCAGTCCCATTCGTTTGGATATTTGGCATGGTCAAAAGACTGAATTTGGCACCGACCCCTCCTTCTTTCCTACCCAGGAAGTACTAGACAACCTGCATGGACCTTTTCTTGGGGGATTGGCTTCAGAAGGACCGAGGTTGTCCATGGTTAACCTTGATATACCTTGTTTTTTCCACAAAAACGGCTCGGTTGGGGTGCCACCATGGTCCACTTTCTTCCCGTTTGGACTTGGGGTGCACCAGAGGCGACTGCATGTTGTGGGCCGCTGCAGAGTTGAAGAGCCGCCTACGTGCCACGTGTGTGGAGCCGGTGGCGCAGGCGAGGCAGATGTTCAGGGTGTGGCTTGGCAAATGCATATATTATATATACCTATAGAAACTGAATGACCTATATTTTGGACCACCAACTACCCAACATATGGCCTTTTCCTATCAAAACAGGGGGTCCAAACAGGGTTCCAGGTATAGATGCAAATGGTAAATATTGGTTAGCTTTGACGAGTGGATCCACAGAAGAAGCTAGAGGGTCGGCGGAGGTGTGAGCTTTCTGACGAAACTGAGGGATGGAAACTGAATTGGGATCTGTTTAAGTTGCAATTCCCGAGGAAGGTTCGTACGTTGGAAGATGGGACATGACCCGAACAAGAATAGGTAGACGAACAATTGTACTGCGCGCGCATTTTCTGAGGTACTTTGAGACTCCAGGTATCTCCTGGTACTTCATTGGTATGCAAGATTGATTGGTTTTGTTGGGAATCGTAGGTGACATTACATGGTACCCGTGCGAACTGAAACCTTTAAGTGAACTTGATTTGGAGCAGTGATCCACCCTGTCTAAATCCACTTTGACCAGCCCAGTTTCCATTCCAATTGCTATTGTCCCGGGGGGGCAAAGTGTTTGACTCCATCCTCCCATGATTTAGTGGTCCAACATGTTCCTACGATCGGTCGTTCGCCATCAAAAACGCCCGTGAAAACGACCTGGAGTCGGCCTGTTCGTACTTGCAAATTGGGTACAAGTCTGACAGTGTGTCATGTTTTATCATGTTTTGCATGAAAAACATCTCCCAGGAGCACCCGTATTGTTTCTTTTTTGCGGTCATGTCCTCATTTTTCTCGTACTTGAAGATCGGGTCAACGCACCGAATCACTTGCTCCCAATCGGTCACTCCATCACCTGCTGCGCGGCCCGTCCTGCTACTTCCGCGGCGGTGCCATGAGCGCCGTTGCGACCCCCGGCGACTCGTCGTCGCGGTCGCGACGGACGGAGCCCCACGGCAGGTGGTGGCCCTCTTTCGCCGCAGCATCGAAGCCAACGGCTTCTCCGAGCTCGTCGCCCCGGCCTCGGACGCAGAAGTCTCCACGGACGAGCGAGCGAGTGAGGGGAGCGGGGTGGGGATGGGGAGCGGGGAGACACCGGATGGACTGGTTTCGAAGGCAGGAGGGTTTTCGAAGGCGGGAGGTTGTTCGAAGGCGGGTTTCCTTCATTTTCCCTCCACGTTTCCGACGTCGAAGTACAAGAAGCGGCGTTGTATAGTAATTAGACTCCTTGATTCACAAATCACCCCAGATAGGTCTTTCAACGAGCTCAAGGCTATCGGCGCGTTGCCCCCGACTGGTCCCAAAAGGGACAGGAAGACTCACTCATAGCCAATCTCGCAAAGAAACGCGACGATCCGTTTGTTCCAGACAGGAGGCACCTCTCCGTCGTTGAGACGGAGAACACGCCCATTGATCCGCAGCATCCGTTGACCGGCGAGTCCTTCAACGACAGGTTTGCAGAGGCCGTTTCCCACCTCGACTTTTGGAAGTCGCCTGGGTCAGATGGTTTTTTGCACTCAGCCAATTCGATGGGGGACTTCTTGGCGAAAGACTATGACAACGGAGTCAGCGTGGTGCCGCATCAAGCGGCTAGAGATCGTAGGCACGAAGATCGGCCTGTGAAAACGGCGAACTCGTCAAGCTCGGATTGAGATCACCCGTGTTTCCAGCCATTAAAATGGAGTGGCATGCTGAGCGAAAAGTTTTTGAGTGCGACACCTCTGGTGTGGCTGTTCTAGACGATCAAGGCAACAAGATTCCTCTAAATCACCCGCGCTGGAGATCAATTTTGGTTCAAGCAACGGTGGACCACATCGTGCAATTCGTGCTATTCAAGCAGTTTTCTCTCTCAGAGCTCATGACTGTGCAGGGTGGTAATGTCGACAAGATTGTCGCTGGCGTAAGCCTAGTGTTATAAACACTTTCATATGGTAAGGCCAGAATCCGTGATTAAAAAACAAAAAAAATACAAAAGTCAAAAGAAAGTCAACTGGAAAAGTCAAAGTAAAAAAAAAGGTCAAATTGAAAAGTCAAAAACAAGTCGGCAAAGACGCAACCACAAACACAACCACAATCACAAACGCAAACACAAAACACGGCCACAAACACAATCACAACCACAAACACAACCACAGCCACAACGACAAAGACGCAACCACAAGCACAACCACAAACACAATCACAACGGCAACCACAAACACACAACCACAACCACAACCACAGACACACTACCACTACGACTACGACTACTACTACTACTACTACTACTACTACTACTACCACTACCACTACGACTACGACTACGACTACTGCTACTAGTACTACTACTACCACCACTACTACTACTACTACCACCACGACTACGACGACGACGACGACGACGCCGACGATGACGCCGACGCCGACGACGACGACGACGACGACTACGACTACGACTACCACTACTACTACTACTACTACCACTTCTTCTTCTACTACTATACTACTACTACCACTTCCACTACCACTACTACCACCACCACCACTACTACTACTACCACCACGACTACGACGACGACGACGCCGACGACGACGACGCCGACGCCGCCGACGACGACGACTGACTACGACTACGACTACCACTACTACTACTACCACTTCTTCTTCTACTACTATACTACCACTTCCACTACCACGACCACGACCACCACCACCACCACCACCACCACCACTACTACTACTACTAGTACTAAGACTAGTACTAGTACTAGTACTACCACTTCCACTACCACTACCACTACCGCTTCTGCTACTACTATTACTACTACTACTGCTACTACTATTACTACTACTACTGCTACTACCACTCCTACTAGTAGTAGTACTACTACTTCTACTGCTCAGGCTCCGGAAGTTTCCCAGTTTTGGGCCGCCCAGTAGGACTACTACTGAAATGTTCTGAGTTGTATTATTAGTTGGGCACAGGTCTCCTGATGAAAGCATTCGCTTTGGACAAAACAGTAAGACTTGGCGCTGAAGAACTTGTGCAATGAGCTGAAATACACAACGAGGGTGATGTCAACGTGGCTGTTTTGAAATGTCATGGTGGGGATCACTCAAAGTAAAGTAATTTTGGCTATTTAGAGTCGGGTCTTCCACGGCATGTTGTAGAGATGTTGCTTGAAGCATTTTGTAGAGATTGTTGGGCTATATGAGTTGAGTGTGGAAGTAGGATCTTGTAAAGAATGTATTTGAGGGATTCTTGGAGTGGGCTAAATGATTCAATTGGAAGAGCATTTTGTAGTAACCATCTTTAGACTCTACAAAATGAGGCTGTAGGGTCGTGTGGCAGTGTGCCCCGCGGGACCTGAAATGCGAGGGTGTTCCCCGCCGGACTCTAACTGTGAGGATCTTGTGGCAGTGTTCCCGGCCGGACCTCGACTGCAAAGGTTGCGAGGCAGTGTTCCCCGCCGGACCTCAACCACCACACAACCACAGACACAACCACAAACACAATTACAAACACACAGCCACAAACATAGCCTTCAACGAAAAGTTCTTTTGCTGTGTTGCGCAGTCCTTGGAAACTTTCAGCGAACATGTGCAGCCAAGCTGTTGTTGCTGACGATACTGTGAGAGTGGACGTTCCTGTATTGTTTCTAGCTGTTGTTTGGTCAATTTGTAGAGGCAAACAAGATCTATCATTTTGTAGAGTTCCTTCTTCATTGTCGCTTTTGTATCCTCTTGTGTCTGGGCTTGGCGGAGATGAGAGATGCATATTCTTTGTTCCCTACCAGTCAGCCAGGTGGGGGTTGTTAGCTTAAATTATCTCAACTGCCGTCCTTCTCCTCTCCTCCTCTTCTCCTCGTCCTCCTCAGCCGCAAGCGTCGGATGGCAGTGTTCGTCAGATGAAAGGATGTTCAGAAAGATATGCCAAAAATAATGCCGATATAGTTTCTCAATACATGCCAGAAAAGTTGTCAGATTGAAGTGTCATGGTGGGGATTACTCGCAGTAATTAAAGTATAATTTGCTACCTGTCAGGTGAGGGTTGCTTGATTTTATAACATCTGCCGTCCTCGTCATCCTCCTCGTCCTCCTCGGGCAGTGTTCCCCACCGTACCTCAACCACCAGCTCTGGATGGCAGTCTTCCCCGCCGGACCTCAACCAAAAAAATTGTGTGTCTTGGGATCGTGTTGTAAATTTTTTGGAGCTGCCATTTTGTAGGGCCAACAATTTTAGTATGTTTTAATTTTTCGACAAAATCGCAATCTCAACCCCTCCCCAAGTACTATATACATATAAATCTATTGGATTGAAAGGCAGTTTTGCAGACTACTAGTTGTTTTGATGTCATGCATGCCGTTTGGTTTGTGGAATACTGAGGTCCAGGTCCAGCTGTGGAATTATTGACCGTTCAGTCTTCATGTTTTTTGATGCACCATATTGAACATCACCATTTTCTCCCTCAAAAGAGAAGATCCTCAGATGGCGCCACGCTCGGAGGGATCTTCCACCGTGCCGACTCTGTGCTGAGGAGCTGCACCATGCCTTCCTCGGCGACGCCGATGTGCTAGGCGCCGCGCGGTCGTCGTTTTCGCCGCGGTTTCGCTGTGTCGTTGTTTTGGGTGAGGGGACGTTTCTCCACGCTTGAATGCGAATGACCTGCGATCGGGTTTATCTGTGAGATTTACCATAGCGTAAGGTGACCGATATGCCCCCGTGAGATGACCAAGTTTTTTCACGTGACCCGAACCCAAAACAGCTACGACTCTGACTGGGTCAACTCCATTTGAGACTCCATGTGGCTGGCCGCGGCTGGCCGCTTTGGCCCAACGGTTTGGTTCAAACGTATGGATTGGTGGTTCCCCAAGGTGCCGAGGAGCTGGACCCCGGATTCTGATGTTCAACCCATCGTACTTTTGGTTGGGAGAATTGGTTTGCTCACCCATTGACTCAAACACATTGTGCCATTCCTGACACCACCAACCAGTCCCAGTGTTCATCGCTCCGCCGGGAATTCTGGAAGTCGCCAGGCGCCCAGTCCAGTGTTGTCTCAGTCCCTGTCCCGACTCAGCTACAGAGGTTAAGTGACCTTATAGGACCCTACAGGGGTACCTATAGGATAGTCTATAGGATTCTTCAACATCAACCGATCATTGGATATGGACTGGGAGTCATACCGAGTGGGACACTCCATGCCCCGACCCCTCAACTGATCAATATGGATCCCCATCCGTGGAGGCATGGAGTGTTTTGGGATTAAACACCATCATAGACAAGGTTGTTGTCTTGGAAGGTGTTTTTTTGGACCAAGATTGTCTTGGACCAGTTTTTCTTACAGTTCTCTTGGAAGGCTTTTTGGGGTATATATGTCCCAAGCGACATCAACAAGTCTCGTTTTGAAGCATGTGACACGGGTCAGTTGGAAACCACCTCGGACCGCCGGTCGGTCACGTCGAGGTTCCAACGCTGATTGGTCGGATGCCTGGCGGCGCGTGGGAGGCGCCGGTGATTGGACCGGACCTTGGGGAGCGCGTGGACCAGAAAGAGTGTCTAAGTGGAAGGGCGTGACATCAAAACAAAGTTCTAGGTAACCATTTGTCAACTAAGGTTGAAAAACACATGATACACATAACATGACCTAAGAAGTAGGTGAGTGGATATACCTTTTATGTAGGCTTGGAGTGTCCAAACGCCTTCTAATGAGCTGCTTGGATCCCTAAATTTCGACTGGAACTGGAACAGATACAAAGAAGAAACGTGCTTGTTCACTCTGAATACTTACTGCGTACTCGAGTGTTCCACGAGAATGCTACACGTACTTGGAAGCCGTAATTTCTTCTGCCCAGACGCGACCCTGAATCCTATGAAAGAGACATGGAGGGGTCTGGGGTTTCAAGCCCTGTACCAGCAGAGGTTGAAGAACCCTAACTATCCTATAGGTACCCTGTAGGGTCCTATAAGGTCACTTAACCTCTGTAGGTATAGGTTTTGATGGACCTTCTGTTTTTTCAATTTATTCCTTGGAAATGGTCTCAGCCTGTCGGTGTGTCGGTGTGTCGCCCTGCGCACATCAGTTTGCTTGTTGGGTTTTTCCAGGCGCTCTCAGGACCGGTTGTTTGGATTGCCCTGAGCGTGCCTCGTACGAGGGCATGTTTGCATTGCCGGTAAAGGCATCGAAATTTGTTCCATCCTTTGGCCAGAAGAGACGCTGTGAGCATCTGTGAGCCGCTGGCAAGCCGCTGGCAATTGCGTGGCATTGCGCCGGCAAACCAGAAAAGATTTCACACCTTGCAAGGCATGATTACCCAGCCAGGCCTCAAAGCTCATTGATTTGGCAGACAAGCAAGTGGCTGGCCACGTATCATACATGATTTAAATCCTCAATGAGTTAAACCCCCCCCGGATCTAAGCCGAACTTTCTGATCTATGAGTGTGATCTTGAGCCGGCCCTGCGCTCTTGATTCGCTTTTGTGAATTGGTGTCCAGAGAGCGGAGGCTGGACCTCCTGCGCTCCGGATCGGCTCTCTGGGAAAGCTTTTCGGCAAGGTGGAGCACACAGCAGCAGCCAAGCAAGCATGTGCTGAACGAGGTGGGTTCCCAGAATGAGCACCCTCTGTGTTGCCAGCGCGAACAGGGCCAGCCAGCCCGCCAGCCGAACCTGCGTGTATCTTCAAATTGTGCGCAAGCGGCGATGGTTGAGATTCGCAAGCATGCTGCATCTTCTTTGGCCGGCAGACTTAGCGGTAAGAAGCTGCAAAATGCACAAAGCACGTCCAAGCGTATTTTAGTCCTTTGCGCGTATTTTCAATTGTATCGGATGATCCTCGAAGGGAATCCGCCCATCACCATCAGAAACAGAACTAATCATATCGACATTGCTATGTCGGGATCATCCTGAGAACCAAACAGGTGAGCGATGAAAACACTGGTGAAGCATGAGACTTTTGGGGCTTCGGCTTCGGCTTCGCTTGGATTTCTTGAAAAAGCCATGGGGCCTTCACCCTCAAAAGCTATACAGGTCTTTCCCACCGACCCAAGCTACAGCACCTTGGGAAGCTGTTTCCCTTCCCCTGGGCCCGAAGATCTTGGAACCTGCGACGTGACCACACGCACCACCAGGAGTCCACAGACAGCGCTGTACTTGCTGTACTGGCCTTTTTGGGGGGAAGACGAAAACCAAAACGAAGGAAGAGACCCGTGAACCGGTCGGACCGGGTCACCTCTCGGTCGGACCTGACGCGCAGCTCCTCGATCGCTTCCGTGGCTCGGACGAGGTGCCGTCCCTTGGCGACGCCCGGGCGCCGGGAACCGTCGCGGCGCAGACCGCGTGCGTTGAAGTGAGGCGCGAAGGAATGCTCACAGCAGCTGTGATTCACATAGACGAATGGGAATCATGGGATTGGAATACTTTGAGATAGATTGTGATAGACATGGGTCATTGCTGCAGGGGGTTATATAATCTTACATTACAATGATACCAGCACCTTCATGTCGAGGTCACACTGGCTGGTTTCGCCCTAGCCCACCAGCGCCCACCAACGGGACGTCTCGGGACCTCCAGCCAGGACACCCCTAAGAGCGGTTCAGGTATATATAATTCCAGTCCCTTTCGTTTGCGACGTCCAGGTCGTTTCCAGGTTCCTCAACGATCCAACGTGCTTTGGGACCGGAAGACAAGAGGTCTGGGGAGGGGTCGAAAGCGTTTGGGCACGTCCCGCAAAATTCCTTGGCCATGTTGTTAAAAAGAAAGACCATCAGCCAGATTTGTGGGAGATCCCTTCCAGTGTCTTCTCTTTTTTTGTTGGCGTTTGAGATTGTGAGGTGTCCACGGCGTTCGCGTTTGGATCACATGTTTCACAAGTTCCATCCATCAGACTGACCCTCAAACTACAGGGGGCAGGTGCTTCCCAACCAGAGAACATGACACGCACACTCCAGTAAATTGTTTAACGATAAAGTTAGTTGTAAAGCTGCTTCCTCGTAAGTTCTGGAGAGAGTGTGTATATATATATACATACATACACTGTATATCGGTTTTGTATGTATGGAACACTTGATATAGACTCACCCTTTTGCACATCGAGTCTGCCGAACACCCTCTTGCACAAAGGTGCTTCCAGTGGGGCTATGATTGAAATGCGTACTATGAATCACACATCATGGGAGGAGGACCCGGGCCTTCTTCAGCCGCATGATGCATGCGTGCTCAAGAGTTGTAGTGCACATTTAACAACATGTTCAAGAATAATATTAGTAAGGGACGATAGCATGTTCCAGTTGTTCTTGCGTTTTGCTGATTGTGCCCATGCTTCCCCTAAGGTGGCCGAAAACATTCTTTGAGAACAACATCAATCAGCGAAACCATTTTGGTACGCAGATGTTGGGTACATAGGCGCGATTGCCCGTGTGAAGAAGCAGACATCTCTTTTTCACGCTTGTTTCACACTGTTCAGCGCTTTTTTTCAACTGTGTCACACTGTTCCATATTTTTTAAATCACTTTTTGACATGTTTAAAGCAGACATCAAAACAGACATATTAAAAACAACACATGTTGTAATTTTAGTTTGACTGTGAAATTTGTAACAACAAACTTGAACACCACCATTAGCAACTCTTTCATGACACACTCACCAGTATCCTTGCCGCGCTGCAACGCAAACAAGTCAAGAGTCAAAGACTGTACAAAGCAAGTTGGTTGCATGCTGGCATATCCACTTGGCCAGCTCCTCCACTTTTGGCTTGTGGGCCTCTTGAGTTTGTACTTTCTTAACTCTCCAGGTGTACCGCTCCAGCATGGTCAAAGTCGAATTGAACTGACATGTCTATTGTGAGTCTATGTCTGTGACTTTGACATGATTTTGATATTTCTTTGTCCTTGACTTTGACTTTGACCTTTTGACATGATTTTGACCTTTGACCTGTACTGGAAGAAACTTCACAAATATTGGAGGGAGTCATGGGCAGAACTATTTCCTGCAATTGTTTTTGGCAAACTTGACGTTTTCTGGCGATACAAAGTCGCAAGCAGCAACCTGAAACCTCACTGCTGCAAAAAATTGGGTTACAATTGGCCAGCAATAGGCTCAAGAAACTGGAAACTTCCACGACTATATATTCAAAAAACTAGTACAGAGTACAGAGTCATTGGGTCGCAGTCGCTGTCAACAAACCTTGAAGAGCTTGAATTTTTCGGAACAGTGAGACCAAACAGTTTGAACCTCACAATTGCCCACATTAGATTTTTTAAGGGGAGGCAGGCAGTCACAGGAACTACCTGGACAATTTTTTACTTGAATAAATTTCACAACTATTGGAGGCAGCCATGGCTTGTTCAACACTACAATTTTCAAGCTTCTATTCAAACATGTTTTTTCAAGAAGGGGCATTTTTTGGACTATGCAGGCATATACATGAAACTTGCACACGTACATTTGCAGCCCTTTGGTGGTCTTGGAAAAGGGGCGCCACGCTTTGCATGGTAGCGGAGCACCGCCCAGGGCTCCTGCTCCTAACCCCCTGTAAAACCGGCGTAAGTCCCTAGAGGCGGCGGTGTGGGCGGCACCCTGTAAATCCACGTGAAATCTCGTGGTGTGGGCACGGCGTAAATCCCTGTGCCGGGTGGCCAGCAGCGCACATGGCAGCGCCGGTGACACCCCCGCTCGCCTTCGACATGGCTGCCGCTGCTGCTGATGGCTTTGAGTCGCCTACGTCCCAACCACATCCGCTCCTACCTCAACCAGTTCCTGGTCCGCGGCTGATTGACACGAAAGCCATCGGAAAGCTCAGAGGATTCAGTGGAAAGGATGAAGATTGGCCGGCTTGGGTGTTCGTGGCACGCGGCTACGTCCACCTGCTTGACAGAGCTTACCGAGGTATGCTGGAAGCTGCTGAGAACGCCGCCACCCAGAGCGAGCTGTCCATGATCGACATGAGTGACACGGCTCAGGAATTGTCGACTGTGCTCTTCAACCTGCTCACCCAGAGCGTCGACGGCAAAGCTCTCCAGATCCTGATGAACGTGGAGGGCCAGAATGGGTTCCAAGCCTGGAAGGCGCTATGTGACGCCTACGAACCGCCAGTGGGTGGACGCCACATGGCTATGCTCACGGCCATCATTGCGCCCGACTGGAAGAACATCAAGGAGTCCGAGATCCTTGAGACGATCGAGTCATGGGAAGTGCTGGTGAGGCGCTACGAGATGCAGTCCAAGGAGACGGTCTCTGAGTCCATGCGGGTTGCTGTGTTGATGAAGCATGTTCCAAGCCCAGTGAAAGATGCCATGAGAGCTGCTGGAACGCAGATTGGCACGAACTATGAGAGAGCAAAGAAGTTCATCCGGGACTACCTGCAGACCGGCAACATCTACAAGTCTGGAGGCGCGCTGGCCAAGGACGATGGTGGCTTGGCACCTATGGATGTGGGAGCAGTGTCCCATGCAGAGAAGGGCAAGAAGGGCAAGTCAAGCAAAGGAGACAAAGGAGTCAACAAAGGTGGAAAGTATGACAAGCAGGGAAAAGGCAAAGCACCCATCACGAAGAAGTTCAACGGCGAGTGCTCATACTGTGGCAAGTGGGGCCACAAGAAAGCAGACTGCCGCACCCTGGTTCGAGATCGAGCACGACAAGACACAGACAAGGGCAAAGGCAAGAGCAGCACCAATGCTGTGCAGCGAGCTTCGAGTGGCTCAGCTGCACCACCATCACCTCAGGGAGCACCAGGCAGCAGCACCAATGCTGTCTACTACTGGATCGACCCCGACAATGACGAGAGGAAGGCATGGGCAGACACCTACGACATCGAGGATGAGTACAGTGATGAGATGTGGGTGATGATGATCCACAAGGCCAACAAGCAGGTGAGTGAATGGCACCACATGAACATCTCCCAGCCTAGCGGCACCTCCGTGAAGTACCTTCTTTGGGACTCTGGCAGTGATGAGCACCTCTGCCAACCTATGTTCGGAGGCGACCAGCACACCGAAGAGTGCCGAGCTGAGCTGCTAGGGATTTCTGGGAAGAGCTTGGGAAAACTCGGACAGAAGCGAGTGAGCTACAAGATTGTGGGCGAGGACGGCAACTTCCTGAACGCCATCACGGAGTTCAAGGTGAGTCAGCAAGCCAGCAAGGACGTGCTCTCAGCTGGCAAGATGAGCAAGAGCGGATTTGTGGCTGACATGAGGAACAAGTTCAAGCCGTACCTCAGCCATCCTGACATCTCATTCAGGATTCCTCTATACATCCACAGGAACTCCTACTACATCAAGATTGTGGATGATGAGGCACGGCGTATGACATGAAGGTGGATGCCACCGTGGCACCGGTGGTGAGTCAAGGTGACCAGTATGACTGGGAGTTCGCTGGTGTTGACGAAGATGAAGAAGGGATTGAGATGATCCCACTGCCTGAGGAATTTGCTCGTGACGAAGCCCATGCTCGCGCAGACCGACAGAAGCTGCATGGGTGGAGCAAGGTGGCAGATCTTCGAGCCCGACTCAAAGAGTTGGATGAGCCCATCTATGGCGACAAGCACACCCTGTGGACAAGGCTGAAGAAGGCCGAAGCTGCATTGAATGCGCGAAGAGCCTCTGCAAGAGACTATGTGGAGAAGCATAGCGAGAGGCAGCAAGCCTTGCGAGAAGGGCGTGGAGCTGAAGTTCAAGAGCTTCCAAAGCCGGTGATCCCCAGTGATGAGGAGATGAGGCAGCATGCTTTGACACATCTGCTGCCACAACCATGGTGTGAATTCTGCACTCGAGGCCATGGCGTAGAGATTGCTCACAAGCGGAGGACCTTGGAGCAGAAGCTCACTTCGAGCTCGACTACAGCTTCTTGAAGACTGACACCAGCCTGGCCGACAAGTTTGAGGAGTGCAGTGACACAGTGCTATCAGTGGTCGACACTGGCACTGGCATGGGACTGGCCTTCAGTCTCCCAGCTAAGAACTTGGGCATTCCCTACGTGGTGAAAGTCATCACATCCTTCATTGCCCAGCTGGGGTATGATACCGTGAAGCTGAGGTCAGACAACGAGCCAGCAATCAAGAAGGTGAAGGGGCAGATCGCTGAGGCCCTGAGGAAAGGTGAAGCACCAGGAGCTGCTGGATTGAAGATCATCTTCGAGGAGGTTCCAAGGTACAGCTCACAGAGCCTTGGAACGATGGGGGCATTCCAGAAGCTGCTACGTGGAGATGTCCTGACTTTGAGGTATGCAGTCGAAGCGGAGTATGGCATCACATTGCATACATCCCACAACCTATGGCCCTGGTTGGTGCGCTACTGCTCTTTCATCAGA